ACATTTATTCATGATCCTAAATATGTTAAACTATAAGCTCCTTTACAAGGCTTGTAAATATATACATATATGTATATATATATATATATACATATATATACGCTAAATAATTATTACTCATAATTTTTAAGTATATACAATATTTAAAATAAACAATATCATAATATGAATAATAATTAATGGAAAATTATTTTTTATGTATATGAATAATGCTGAAGCAGAATTCTCGAATATTAAAAAACTTTTGAATTTTTAAATCCAACTAATACACAACTATGAATGAACTCAGGATATTAAGATAATTGGCTCATTTCCAAATTTAATGACCGACAAACCGTAATACTTCCGCAAGTTTAGGAACAGACTTTTCCCGAAAACCTTCAACCAAAAATGAAATATTGATAAATATATGATGAAAATTAAATTACTATTAATTTCAGTTATTATTATTATTGAAAATATTTTTCATTTATTAATACCAATTCAAACTTTAATCAATATAGCCTTATGAATTTTTTTTCTGTTTAAAAAATGTATCGAATATGTACTTGATATATTTGAAAATAATTGAATTCATTGTTGAAAATTAGATTGACATTTGTATGTATCAGCTTTACCAATAAAACTTAATACATCAGGCGATCACTTTTATAATAGAACTTCTTTGAATTTGGTTAATTATATCGAATGAAATTTTACTTTAACTTTTTGTTTGCGAACATTTTTGCCAACTTACTTTATATGTTTTAGACGAATTATTCTGTTTAGAAAGAAAATTGAATTGGTTATATAAATATAATATTTTTATTGGAAGAGTTTTCCTCATTATTAAAATTACGAGCATAGCATATTTTTCTTGGTAATATCGACTCGAATAAATTTCAACAATTTCAATAATAATTGTACATATTCATGCGTAATATTTATTAATTTTCTTCAACTTTTGATATTAATAACTTTAAAAAATTTAATTTATGAAAAATATACTTTATCTTTTATTGGTCGATTTAAAAATAATGCCAATTTAGTTGCACGAATAAATTTCACTTGCATGTAAATAAATTGACGTTAATTTCATTAAAAAAATAATAATAAAATTATTAAACGTTAAATTATTATATTACATACTTATTATTTAATGTTAACTTATATTGTATTATACTGAATGATATTAGCTATTAAAAATAATTTTGATATTATATAACTTCCTCTTCACGATAAAAAATTAATGAAATGACTGAAAAATATTAATATTACAAAATGTCATTAATACATATATATTACTTTATTCGTACGTGAACGCACACACACACGCACACATACACGCGTGTGTGAACGGTTATTTGTCTGTGTACCTATGTTTTGTATGTGTATATAATTTTTCTATTATTTATTTTTTATTTATATCTTTATATATTATTCTAATATTATTGTTAATCATTAGAATATTTTTCATTATTCCATTACCTAAATAATTTAGTGTATTGTCTAATATTCATTATGATGTTGACAATATAAAATATTGATGACTGTCTGTAAATTGCAAATTAAAAGTATTACATCTACGCCTACTACTATTTGAAAATTCATAGCTAAAAGTTAAATAATAATATATAGAGTAATAATGATAGTAAATAAATATAATAACTATACAATTGGAAAAACATGATAGATATTATAGTATGATGCTTCGCTGATCAAGCTTTATGTGATCGACAATATGTATTGAGAAAAGGCAATGGATCGAAGAAACTTGGAAGAAAAGGATGGATTGAAGAAACTTGGCTTGGCGAGTATATAAATTACAATAATATATTAAAATAGGAGAAAGATATTGAAAGTGCCTTAATAACTCATAGTCAGTAGATTCAATGATTTACCACATTTTACGAAGGAAAATTACGAGAAATGGAAAACCAATATTTTATACCACCGAGGGAACCAGAAGTTTTCTATGTTGTTATCTTTGCCTTCCTATATTATGCTTACACACCTATTTGTAGGCCTTTCTTTTTACTTTCATCATAAGTCACTTCATAAAAGGTATTTTTCCGAGGATTATGCTGGCATTTTCCCGTGTTTTCCGCTTAATAGTTCTCTTTTCTCTTTTCATCTTTATTCTCCTTTTATAGCATATAAGGAAGAACGAAAAGAAGAGATCAAAGTTTGAAAAATTTCATTAAAAAATACGCCTATGCTTGCTGACCTACTGACCTAAAATATATATGGGATTCTTTGTCTACATGTAGATAAAATATGGATCGCTTAAATTTTATCTTTTATAATTGTTGAATATTTATGTCCTATAATAAAGGCAAAAAGATAAAAATAGACAATTATGAATTTTAATGCTTGCTATTTCAGTAAGTTTACTAATTAATGATTTTCAATTTTTTTTAATTATTTATACGGTATGGCATAATACTCTGCTTAGAGTGATCATATTAATTATCACGAAATGGTTAAATCTTATTCATTTGACGAAACTGAAACGTGCGATATGTTTTGCAAACGTAGACGTAGAAAATAAATTTGACAATTGATATAATTATTAATATTATTGAGGTGTTGGTAAATTTTCAGTTAATAAAATTCAAAATCATTTCTCATTAAAAATAATTTATTTTCGTGAAAACATTATGTACCGATGAAATAAACTAAATTATGATAAGGATAAATTTGAATTTCGATAAAATTATAAAGGTATGATTTTTATTTTTTGCACAATTTTCATCGTTAATTTTTTATAGGCATTGAAAAAAATTCATAAATCTTACGAATTTAGTTTGAGAAAACTTAATAATGGTTTGAATATATACTAAAGCAATTATAATTTAGAAACGAATTATTTGTTAATTAATGTTTTTAAAGTATAAATCACGTAAACAAGTTTAATGCATGGGAATAGCAATTTTAAATAAAATAGATATTTTTTTATTTAAAAAAAAAAAAAGATTTAGTACAATGTATAATCAAATAAAATCAAATTAAATATTAATATAAGAACGTTGATTATAATATATGTATTTATATTAATTGAAGTCAATGAAAGTGGAATAATAGCCACTGTATACTTGGATAGATCGTTAGAGGTAACGATTTTTCAATTTAATACTATTATTTTTCAGTGAAATAATATGTACAAACTTAATATATATATATATATATATATATATATATATATATATATATATATTAACGTAATTGTAACGTAAGAATAGTCGTCGAACTATTTCTGTATTCTTAAGAACGTAAAACGTAACGTATTGTTTCATTATTGAAGCAGTTTGGATCGCAACTAACTAGCGAGAATGTAACTGCCATTTTAATACGTATTTCTGAAACTATGAGAAACTTTGTACGATCAGATTAATCGAGACACGAATAGCTCGGCACATAGGTGAAGAAACACGAAGATTTGTGTATGTAATATTCGGATGATAAGCGATAAATTTCGATTTTCGTACTCACGCTAAGGACGAGTTTTGTTTTGAATTTACATTATTATGGTAATAAGAAAAGCACTGGAGTATAAAAAGACGATATATACTTGCTAGACAAAGAGAGAGATAGAGAGTGAGAGTGAGTGTGTGTGAGAGAGAGAGAGAGAGACAGAAAGTAGTATATCTCATATCACGTGTGCTCCCTAAAGAGCACTTCCTTCCAGTTCAAGGTTAATAGCTCATAAAAGATAAGACCAAGAATAGTCAAGCGTTGAAAAATTTAAAGGCTAGACAACTCTATAAGCAGATTGAGTTCATTGGAGAAATCGCGAAAGGGTTATGCGTTAGCATTGAGAAAGGCGTATCAACGACGAGATTCCAAGGAATTCAGCAAATAAACTAACTATTGAATGGAATGGCGGGAGACAATGATTAACTAACTTGCGAATGAAACGAGCATGAGCGTTTAAGCGAGGTGTATAGAATTATCGCCGAACCGAATTACAAATGTACAATGTGACGAACAATAAGAGGGCGATGGCCGTCGTAACTATTTGTATCGAAACTATTTGGACGGTACTCTTCCTCCTTTATCTCGGCTTAAGCATTAATAAGCAGTGGTCAACTATTTCGACTAGACATATTAATCCTACCCGACCTTTGCGTATAAATTCATATTTGCCTGTCCGAATGAATGAACGTATTATAAGAGCAAAATAATTATATATATATATATATATATATATATATATATATTCACACACAAATATACAAATTTTGATCTATGAATGATAAACAAGTAATTTATCCTCATGTATTATTAATTTTGTGAAACTTATGGCCTGGATAATTTGCCAATCATATAATTAAGAATCTAACGAATTAAAATTAAACTTTTCAATAGTTTCTTTAAAATTGTATTATTCTCTACCAGGACAATAAGAATTTTACAAACATTTTATTAACTATAAAAATTTATATTTTACATGACATGTGAATTACATTTTAAGACCGCTTATATTTAAGAAATTTGATGATATTTAGATTCCCCGCCCCTATCAAAATCTCAATTTATCAAACTTTATAAAAGTTATAAACTAGACGAGCGAGGATTTCCTCTTTCAAATGCTTCCTTCAAACGACAAAGACAATCAACAGCAGTGTTATTAAGGGACGCAGTTGCACTTTCTCATATAACCGCAGATTTAATCTTCGAATAGTCAATCGACGATCTTAATAACGGCGTAAAGTTAATGTCAACCCGGCGCTTCATCACCCCTCCCCCTCCACCCCCTCTATGTATCGCTGGTAGCGAAGAGTATAATAAATTGATCTTATTGGCAGGAAGAGGGCATGACGCACCGGACTCATGCAGTGGCGAAAACACGTGCGCATCAAGTACGGTGGTCAAGTCGGTGTCGGTCAAGGGCAAAGGGATCGAGAGGAGGTGCCGGTGGAGCGGCAACATCAGCGGCAGCATCCACCGCTGCAGGTGCGCCTGTTGCAGTTGTACGGGGACGGGGGAGCGAGACTCAATTACATTTGCCACCAGCCTCACCTCCAGTCGTCCTCGCTGTCCAGCCGCGACATCGCAGCAGCCATGCTCTGCTGTGGCCGCAGAAAAGTAAGCTTGCAAGCATGTAGTTTAATGATGTTGGGCGTTGATGGTGCGCTGAAGATGAAAAATTGAGCACCGCCCTATAATCCGACGAGGTCCACGGGATTCGATGTATCCCTTATACATATAAAATGTCCTGTGTAATACATACGGGCGTGCGCGCCCGCTTACGAACGGGTATATATTTTTATATGCAGTGAGCCGTTAAAGGGCGACATACCCCTCATTCCTCTCTTTCTCTCTCTCTCTCTCTCTCTCTCTCTCTCTCTCTATCTATCTCCCTCTCTAAGAATTATAATAGAACGTAAGAAAAATTGAGTTATAACATATTAGCGGTCTAGAATGTTCATGGGGACCATCTCATTCAATGTACTTAACGATTGAATTAAAAATTTCATCACGCAAACTCAATTAGAACGTCAAATTAAGTAATAACCATCCATACTACATTAATTTGTTAAATGGCTTTTTTATATTGTAAAATTACTTTTTACTATAACCTGAAAGTTTAATACTACGATTAATATTATTAAAATTATTATCGCACATTGTTAATTGACTGCACTTAATAACAAATCTCGATAATTTAATAATTGATTTTTTTTAATTTTTTTATTTAAACACTTAAATATCCGCGTAAACGTACACAGATTATTTCTCTTATTCGTTAGATATTTGAAATTTTTCATTTTCCAAACTAAAATATTATTGTCTGTCAAATAAAAAAAAAATCCTTTGTAAGAGTTTGAGTTAACACGCAAACGTATACATTTATTATACCAAAGAGCAAGAGAGAGAGAGAGAGAGAGAGAGAGAGAGAGAGAGAGAGAGAGAGAGAAGGTAAGAAAGAGAGAATGTAAAGGTGGAATGGGAGAGTGAGATATATATATATATATATATATATATATACATGCCTATACATGACCGACACATATCCGTAGATATAAATGCAAACATAAATACAACAGGCACGCAAGTAACGTACATATTTAAATTAACAATTATATTTAAATAGAAAAAAGGAAGAAATCATTAACGCTGTTCATCAAAGCAAATTAAAACATAAAAATTACTATATAATTTTTTGCATAGCATAAGTCAATTAAAGACAAAACGCGTATAAGAGAAGAATATCGTAAGAAAAAGAATTTTTAGTTATTTCATACATACGCGTATCTAGGGAATAACATAAAATATTTACCAACGGCTTAGTTTAATAATTTTTTTTCTCTTTTTTATATAATGATAATTATAATTAAATTTTAATTAAACATTTTAATTAAATAGGTTTAACAATTCAGTTCTCATGAATACGAAGGAAGAAAAGGATTTTATTATCTTATTAAACATGGTATTACAATGGTTTATTCTCGTATTGTGACGACGAAGCGTAAGCAAAATAATTTTACGCATAAAATAATGCTTAACATTTTGATATTTACATCGTATGTAATATTATATATGATTAATCAGATGAATTCTTTGTTAAAAATGAATTTATGTTTATTTCATTGAAATAAAATGTATTATATTATTAAAGTTTATCAATTATCCATAAACGTTTGCTAATATTGATAAAGTTTTAAATGAACATGTATTAATTCTTAATGTTTAATTTTATTAAATTATCATGTTTCTATTATGTTCTTATAAATTATTTGATCACTTCTGTTTAACATACGATTTTACAAATTGTTATTATTAAACAGCAGAAATAAATAACAAACACTATTTTATATTTAATAAAGTTTTACGAAATTCAAAATTCGCATTCGCATTCACACGTACACGGAAATTATGTTCGGTTCTAGTCATTTCTATGTCGATAAATAATAGTTTTATTGAGGACATTAATCAGAAATATTAATAATTATTAGTTATATTGAATATTAAATATTAATTTTACAAATTGCAGGGGCGCGCGCGCGTGTGTATGTGGGCGCGTATTTGATATTATGGAAAATTCAGAGGACAAATGAAAGTTCTCAATATATTATTAAATATGTTTTGTCATAAGAAAAGTTATGAAATCAATAAAAATTGTGGATTTTTCATTGGAAGGAAGTTAATAAGAAACGAAGTTTAAATAATAAGCTAAATTCAAATTTTAATTTAAAATAATAATTGACCATCGGAGAGAGAAGAAAAATAAAATAAGATTAAATTTATTGATTTTTGCACGTTTAGCCGATAATTTTAACAATAACTTTGTAATAATTGCAATAATTTTAATAGAAACTTGTTCTTTCTTTTCACGTTTTTCTTTATTCTTTATTCTTTTTTTAATATATCCGGAAAATGGCGGTTTCGTAGGAGTTGGAAGGCATTTATTTAGTTTCTCAGTATTCAACTATACACTCGTTCTTCGTACGTCGAATGCCGATTTCCTTGAATATTTTGCTTCCAAGAAAACTATTTATGAACCCGACATATGTTTACTCTTTCAATTAGATATTGACGTGGAGGTAGGGACCACTGCATGCACATGCCCGCATACATATTTACGATAATTTACACTGTTTACTTTGGCGTGAAAGTCTACGCACTCAAGGCTTGTGAGTTGCAAATTTCATAAAATATTCACTGTCTGCTTCAATGAGAAATAAAGGAGAAAATATTACAAGAACAGCCGGTATATAATATTCTGCGTTTTCCAGCAGCGGCCGTTTTTGCTCATTGACTAAATAAATAGAAGGAAGTTGGCCAATGTGCTTATGTATATCTCCTTTCATGCGATGAACCAAACTATCGATTTGGTCTCTTGCTTATCTCGTTAAAACGCTCCATGGACATTGAGAATGGAAGAAAAAAGGAAGTAAGCCGAGGCTCATAGATGTAACGCGCTTCGGCGAATTAATTTATTTACGGGAGGTCGATGTTTCTTTTTAGTGTGAACAATGTTTATTATAAATAAGCGTTAACATGTCGTTTATAGTTTTATAAATCAGTCAAAAGTAATTGACCTGATCTGTTCAAAAACAAAAAAAACAAAAAAAAACAAAAAAACAAACTATAATTATATAAGACGAAAGAGTATGTCAATTAAAAACATTCTGCTTATTATTTGCATTAAAGAAAAGTTTATTATATGCAGTTCCAGGGAGCTAAAGCTCAATTTTATGAAACACCTAGTTTTTCCCTGTCAACTGTTTGTTAATAATTTCATAAACTTTATCTTATTATATACATCAACGTAACGTATTAACAAAAGAGCAATCGAATACCAAAAGAAACTATAATACATATAGAAGAATATATAATAAAATATATTTACTTATATTCTTTCTCTGATAGTGTAATAAAACCATCATATGAAAGTAAATTTTATATAAAATTGAACAAAAATTCTGTTAAATAATTAAATTATAATTCATAAATTCAAATTTTTTATCTTTGGTTACGCTATACAGCACATATTTTATCAATATAAATGGTATCTGGTTGTTTTACAATGTCGTTATAATAGCTTGAACGTAAATTTCACCTAAATTATTCACGATAAGAAACTCAATTTCTGATAGTATACAGAGTAAATGAATAATTGAATCGAATATTTTATTAAAAGTATAAAAATAAATGTACAAAACCGATGTTGATTTTTACAATAATGAATTGTAGAGTAAGTAATATATTCACAGATTACATTAACATTTAATGTTATTATTTATTTATTTATTTATTTATTTCTATTTATTTGTAATATATCTATAGTTACATATATTTAATGTTATAAAGACTATATTTACAAAATTATAGGAATTATCTCATGCAGTTTCGACATTTAAGAATTAAAATTAAATAGTACTTTGTATAAATTTTAAATAATAATTAGTTTGAGTAATTCAATTTTATTTGTGAATGAATAATTATTTATTTAAATATTACATTAAATTAATTAGTATAGTCGCTAAGGTATTGTATGTAAATTACAAATACTATTTAAAATTACAAATACAAAGTATGGAGGAATTACGTATGAAGATATACATTTGTTTAGATGGTCAAATATATGAAAGGAAAGCTAATTAATCGAATATAATTAGAAAATCATATATTTAGTTGCTGTAAAATCAAATTTATAAAACTCATATTCCTACGGTAAAAATTCAAAATTATACCCAAAATGCAACATACACATAATTAATTAAAAAAACTTAAATTTTATTTATACTTAATAACGATATTTCTAAGGACATTGAGTTTCGGATTATTATTATAATTATATAATTAATAATTTGTACGTTATAAATATGTAAGGATTATTATTTATGGGCTCGCGTGATCGTTTATAGTCAATATTTATTTCAAAAATTTATGGGTAAAATATAATTTATTTCTGTTATTTTATTTCGCATGAATAATTGTTGCTATACTCATACAGGATTCTATTAAAGTTTACTAAGACTTTTGATGTTTGTTAAATGCAACGTGTGTCATTGATCATACATATATTTACATATTAATTTTACAGAATGAAGAAATTAAATTATTTTTCTTAATCATTTGTTTAATGTCAATTTAGTTATCTACTCGTTACTATTTGCAAAACTGAAAGCCATTTACAAATCTGTCGTTTTCGCGTAAAAGGTATAAAAAAAAAAAAAAAAAAAAAAAAATCATAAAGAAATGGTAAATTCACCCAATGAAATCCAATTCATTTAAATCTTAAGAAAACGTAAGAAAAATCCTGTATTTGATAAATTACTTACAGCAGTACTTATAGATGAGCAATCTGTTTAGTAAAAATTTTTGAGCGTCTCCTTTTAGATTAAACGTTGAGGCATTTTCTGTTTGTATTCTGGAGTCGTATAGAAGCTTGAAAAGTACGAATATCGAAAGATGCTGAAATGGAAAACGAGATAAATGGAAATTTTAATGCGGAAGCTTTGATTAAAAAATATATTTATTATTTTAATGCCTTGAAGAAATGTTTTAAAAAATTAGAAATTGTTTTTCATACTTTATTATTTTCAATTCTGTACTTTCATTCTAGAAATTTACACTTA